TTAAGACACCTATAACACCTCCCTGATGGTAACAGATCGAAATATGAATGTCCAGGATGAGAACAGTCTATGGAGATTTTTAGTGTTCTAGAGAGGAGTCTGGTTATAAAATCGGTTGTGACTCACTTAGCAACCACATTGCTTATCAACAGAAATTCTGGTCCCAGTTGCGATTGCAGATCAAGGACTACCTGTGTAGAAGAAGGACCTGCGAGGCCAAAACTTGATTCCATGCAAATGTCTCTTCCGTGAGATTTCTGTATAAGGCTGAGATCTCTGCAAGAGAAATGTAACTACTGTTGACAGCAAAGACAATAAGGGATAAGTAGGGTCACCTTTTTGACTGTCTGGGGCATGAATCCTCCCTGTTCACATTATACCTGTCAGATGAAATCAACTTTGCAAGCATCTGAGCAGTGTGAGGTGGTAATTCAGTTTTCCTGCCTTTAACAACTTTCTATCTGTACTGGGTTTCAGAGGAGTTTGAAGATGAATATGCAATTGAAATCAGAGGTTTTTCTTTGGGTGGATTTGATGGACAAAGCTGGAAAAAAGTCACAGTTTTTATTGATTGATTGATTGATGGATAATATCCCACATTCAAGGTGACTCTTGTTTTATATATGACAACTGCAGTGAGATTATTATATGCACACAAAAGTGGAAAGACTCAATGTTACTCACCCTAGTGGAATGGTTGGTGAAGAGGAAGGGATTTGCAGAGATGGCTAAGTGGATTTCTTTGATCAGAGAAAAGACAGTGTCAATACTGGTTGCTGCTTGGAAATCCCTTAGAAATCTTTTGCACGAAACAGAAAGAAATAAAGTACAATTTAGGGTTTTGATGTTTAGACAGAATCTGTTCACTACTAGAACTGCCCTGGCTATTTAGTTAGCATCCTAGTGTGGAAGTTTTTGAATCAAACTACCTCAAATCAGAGGTGGTATTCAGCAGGTTCTGACCAGTTCTGGAGAACCAGTAGCATAAATTTTGAGTAGTTTGGAGAACCGGCAAATACCACCTCTGACTGGCCCGTCCCCATCTATTATCTGCCTCCCATTGAGTCCCAGCTGATTGTCTGGGTCTCCTTTTGTTGCCCTGCACAGGAGAATGGAGCTGAAAAGCAGGTTAGTAGAGTGGGGAGGGAATGGATATTTTACAGTATCCTTCCCCTGCCATGCCCACCAAGCCATGCCTACCAAGTCATGCCATGCCCACCAAGCCACACCCAGAAAACCGGTAGTAAATTTTTTTGAATCCCACCACTGCCTTAAATCCACTAACTTAAAGATTGCATACAAAATTGGGGACTCATTACTCCCATGGCATTGAAATTTCAAGGATCTTCAGACCAGCTGTATTCATAACCTCTGGCTGTTACCATGGTCAGCTGTGGTCCTGTGATCAGGATTTCTGACATTCCCCCCTGGTTTCCCACAAAGTCAATGTTTTTTTGCCCAGCCATGGCCATTTTGTTTATCTGTTTAGGAAAGTAAATATTTACACCAAACATTATCTAGTAGACGATAGAAAGAAGAGAGTTAAATTGTAACTATAGGCTAAGATGCACATATATAATTGTACTTATCATTGCCAAAGTTTGGTAGCCAACAGTGTGTAGCCGCCGCCAAACAATGTGGCTAAAACATGTGAAGAACAGTTACAGGAATTGGGTATGTCTAATCTAATGAACAGAAGGACTTAGGGGAGACATGATAGCAGTCTTCCAATATTTGAGGGGCTCCTACAAAGATGAGGGGGTCAACCTATTTTCCAAAGCACCAAAAGGCAAGACAAGAAACAATGCATGGAAAACTAACCAAGGAGAGAAGCAACCTAAAACTAAGGAGATATTTCCTAACAGTGAGAGCAATCAACTGATGGAATATGTTGCCCTCAGAAGTGTGAATGCTCCATCACTGGAGGCTTTCAAAAGGGGATTGGATAACCATTGGTCTGAAATGGTATAGGGTCTCCTGCTCAAGCAGGGTTGTGCTAGAAGACCTCCAATTCTATTATTCTACATTGGATTTCTTAGTAACGTTTTTCTTTCTTTTCTACTTTCTTTTAATCCCCCACCTTTCTTGCACTTTTAGCATTTTCTTTGTTTTCTTCTTTCTCCTTTTATTTTGCTCACTTTATCTGAGTTTGCATTAATTTTTATCTTCTTCTTTTAAATTAGTTTTAATAACATTGCATCTGAGATTTCCCACCTGTTGGAAGTGAGTGAATAAACCTTGACTTCTTGAAGGAATAGAACAGAACAGAACAGAATAGAATTCTTTACTGGCCAAGTGTGATTGGACACACAAGGAATTTGTCTTGGTGCACATGCTCTCAGTGTACATTTAAAGAAAAGATGCATTTGTCAAGAGTCAAGAACCATAAGGAAGAATCCAAACAAATAAAGGCATATGGTTATTCAAACATTTCCTGTCTTCCTAGGGTTTTTACAGTAGCTTGGCAAACAACCTTAGAGATCCTTGGCTGAAAGCCATTCAAGAGTGAGACTCTCTTCCCAGCCTTTGATGGTCTGAACTGGATGAAAACAGTTTCTTGCTTTCTTCCAAAAGCCAAGCTCTTCTCCTTTGGTTCTTCTATCTCATGGCAATGCATAGATAGAGGGTGAAATCATCCAGAACCAGCTAGGGCAGCAGTACAAGCAAGTACTTGAACTCTCGCCCAGTTCTGCTGCCTTGTTTCTTTCTTTCCAGGATTGGCTGTAGGAGTCACACCAGCACTTTTGAACTCCCTGTATGAAGCCAAGTTCCTTGGCAAAGTCTGCATGAAGTCTGCGGAATGGCAGGAAGTGAGATTAACCCCAAGAACTTGTGCTATAAAAAGATCTTGGGAGTAGCTTAAGTCAAAGAAAATTGCATTTCATGAGCCAGTGTGTGGGAAGCTACCCCATCGGTCTGATCTCAGAGGGTTTGAGTTTGTGATGGTGACTTCTCTCTTTTTTTAGTCTTTTCTTTTTGTAGAACCTGCAGTAAGTAAGCATGAGTGATTTGGTATGGACAAGGTAGCTATTTACCAATGGTAATTTAGTATATAATAACTACGGGTCTCACAGTTTAAGGATTGATATTATATTATAGTTGGGCTATGCTGTGTTTGGCTCATGTGCAGCTGACAGGCTGGATGCCAAATTGTGATTTTAATGTGGATTTTATCAATCATTCATTACTTTTATTCTAGATTTTAAAACTTGATATTCCTTGGGTGTTTTTAACTTGCTCAAGTCTTTGACTGTAATAAACATTGACTTGACTTAGTAATGGTTAGTCTCAAAGGCACTTTTATCAAAATGCAACTGCACTCTTTTTTCCTTGAGGAAGAAGAAGCAAATGTTTCGCTTCTCATCCAAGAAGCTTCTTCAGCTCTGATGGGGGTCTCAACTGTCAGTACTTATCCATCCATCTCCCCACCATCAGAATTGATGAAGCTTCTTGGATGAGAAATGAAATAATCATCTTCTTCTTCTTCTTCTTCTTCTTCTTCTTCTTCTTCTTCTTCTTC